GGTCTCTCTATAAAGCCCTTCCCCACTTTTCTAAACAAACAAGAAGGAAGAAAGGCACCTGATGCCCAGTCTTTCTGCTGAAGTCTGACGTCAAACAAAAGGAGTCTTTTCCAGGCTGATTATGCCCTGTCTTCTTCCTTTCATCAAGACGCAAGGTATTAAGAAAGGTGAAATTTCCTGGTGTAATCTTCCTTATGACCTGTGAATAAGTGATTGGGGAAGAGGTGGCCAAAGCTGCAGAAATGGGAGTGGCAGGAGGGTTTGGAAAACCCAATGGAAGTACTCTGGTTTATATTTATATTTACATTTATATTTACATTTATATTTACATTTACATTTACATTTATATTTATATTTATATTTATATTTATATTTATATTTATATTTATATTTATATTTATATTTATATTTTGGCATTGGACCAGGCTGCCCAGGAAAGTGGTGCATATTTATATTTTGCTTAGGGATGTGATTTAGAGGTGGACCAGGCAGTTAGGTTAATGGTTGGACTCGATGATCTTAGAGGTTCTTTCCAACCTTAATGATTCTATGATTCTATATGACAGAACATTCCAGTGTAATAAATGTAACAGTTTAACATTGGTCCAGGCCATATGAATGTTATCTGTGATACAAAGTGCTATTCTATTTTACCTTCTGTCTTCAGCCTTTTCATCACTGCTTTTCTTTGCCTATCATGGCTACCCTGTGCTTCCCTATGCAGAACTTTGCTACACATTTTTTCACCTTCTCTGCCAGTGCTCTTCTGCCAGTCCTCCACCTGACCTCCTTCCTTATTCATATTTTCTCTTCTTCTCCTTATTGGTCCTTATATTTCCTGTCCATCATTCAACTGGAGCACTGCTATTGCCTCCTACTTGAAATGATGCCAAATTGTCAATGTTTGAATTCTTACCTACTTCAATTGGAATCATCACAGCAGCAACTTCATTCTGTCTTCTTCCCCAAAAAATTATTTTGGGGAGAAAGTTTTTATCAGAGGAAAAAGATGTTCTCCTGTTCATATATATCCTTAGCTTTATCTTTAGCAGATCCCATATTTCACTGATGTTATCCTCAGGCACAGATGCACAATTGAAAAAGAAAGGCTTTCCTTGATGTATAAAGCACAAAGAAAGGTTAGGCTTTTTTATGTGGAGGGACACTTCTTTTGCTCATATTGAATCTGAACTTCCCAACCCACAACTTGCAGCTGTTGCCCTTTTTCATATCATCCAACTGTACCAAGAGGAGTTTGGCTCATCTTAGTTACAATCCTTAAAGCTAGTCATAAGGCACTACTGGGTGTCCCTTGACACCTGCTTCACCAAACCCAACAAGCCCAACTCTCCTCGGGGGTTAGTGCCCTAAGAGACCATCGTAGTAGTCTTTTACTGAACCATCTCCAATGTATCCACCTCCCTCTTGAACCAGGGGACCCAGCACTGGACACAGAATCAAAAATGCAGTCTCACCAGTGCCAAGTAGAGAGAGAATCCTACTTCCCTCGCTCTACTGGCCAATTTCCATTTAATGTAGATAATTATACCATTTGCCTTTTATGCAATGAGAAACCATGCTGAGTCATATTCAGCCTAGCGCCACCCCCACCCTGTAACCCCCAGATGTTTTCCATCAGGACAGCTACGCAATTTCTCAAGTCTGTACTGATGCACATGATTATCCCACCTCAAATGCAGACATTTGGATTTCATCCAAGCTAATGACAAAGCTGGCAATAAGTCTGAATCTTCTGAGGGCCAGCACGGTATTATTGCCACACTCAGCAAGTAGCAGAGCAGCCTCAACCACAGCTGCTATTATTGAAAATCTGAAGTAATAAATGCTTCCCTTTCCGTTTTCTCTTCAGCACCACCCCACTCCATTTGTAATACTTTGTGACCTTCATATGTACTTATATATAATATATTTAAATTCAGAGGATGCTTTTGACATCTCCTGGCTTTGTTACAAATGCACTTTTACTACCATGACATTTTCTTCATTACAGTACTCTTTTTCTTGAGTTCTAACAAAACAGAGGATCAGAAATATGTTCCCAAGCTCAGTTCCAATGGCCAACTATCACCCTTAGGTAACCACAGATGTCAGCAGGATTTGTGTTCACATGTGTGAGGGCAGAATTTGTCCCCTAAACTGTATGAAAGCTCATATTCCTCAAGTTCAGTGTTCCTGTGAATTTCAGTATCAACAGGAACTTGCACTGAGGCCCGTATTCAAACTGAAGGACTGGCCAAGTATCTATGTGCACACAGACATCTGTATGTGTAAACACGCTGCTTTCGGCCTCTTAATTGATATTGCTAATTGATGCTTGCAAGGAACAATTTCTACCCATGACTGATTAAAAAAAGTCCTGAAGGACAAATAGTTTTCCCTTTGGAATAAAACAGATTAGAGCAAATGGTGTGTGTTTTCAAAGCAGTTTCCTCAAGCACATATAGAACATAAAAGGAGGAGTGAGGACACCAACCATCTGGCAGACTTCCAAAGAAGTTCAGGACCAATACATTCATGCTTATGCTGAAAACTATGAGACTGGAAGGTTTTCCTGGTATCTGTAAAGCATCAGCACCACATTCAAGGATGAGCAGTCAGGTATCATCTGTGTTGACAAAGAGGTGGAGGAGGATAAGAATAGGTGCCAGGGCAAGTCATGCAGTATCTGAAGCAGAATAAGGAAGGATATATTAAATCTCTGCCTCCCAGTTTTGCCAGTTGCTGAGTGCTTTTGAAAATCTGATGCCTCATTTAGCTGACTAAAGAGTGATTGAGCTGTACCAGAAATACAGACCCAGCTGTCAGAGAAAACTGGAAAATATATCCTGGAGTAGTTTTGAAAAATCTAATTATTTTTCTCTATATAGAACACTGGTTTATTTTGAAAGATTTAATTAGGCTAAGTTTAGCCGTGTGTATCACCTGAAAATAGAGTAGAAACACTAAAACTATGTAGGTTAGCCCAAATACATGCTGACTAAAACTTCATGCACTCAGTAACCACCAGCTGTTCACGACATAGCAGAGAAAAACAATGTGACAAAGATTGCAGAGACATTAAATTTTTATTTGCAAATTATTTTTTTCCTTATCCCTCCACCTAGAAGTCCATAGCCCAAGATTGTGAGGGTAGCTTTGGAATACTCTAAAATAGCTTCTATCAGCAATGGCTATAAGGGTTTTCATGTTTGAGGGGTTTTAAGACCTTCAAGAGCTCTTTGAATGTCCCAAAGAAGAGGGGGAATGGCCTGCTTCCACTTCTGTCATCATTTGAGCCTCATGCCTAGAAGGTGTGAAATAAAGTTCTACTTTATAAACTAAGGAGGTGTGGATGATTACTGAAAAAATTAGCGGTGGTGCAGAGCTAATGAAAGAACTTGAGGTGTTACAATAAATGTGAACTGAAAGGATTAGCAGGAAACCGGAGGCTTGTGAAAAACTGAATGATCAAATGGCTCTGCAATGTATCTCAGAGGTCCAGTCTCAAGCTGTATAGCATATGTGTCTGTAACATACTCTCACATTCTGAAACCTTTGCATACAGTATCATTGTGCCCTACATGGCACACTCATTGTCACGACATTTCAGCATACCACACACCTTCTGCTTCCCTGGGTTGCTTACTTCTATGTGATTTATTACAAATCCCTGAAATTCATTGCATACCTACTGATCTGTGTCTGAACAAGAATTTGTGACGGTCATTCAAGTAAAAGGGAGAAATTTCCTTATTTAATTTTCTTGGCCCCACCTCCTCATCCCTGTGGGGTAGGAGAATAATTTTACTCTCTGCTCTTTAATTCACATTCTCTATATCCATTCGCCCACCCCCAGGAATATTTCAGCCTCTTGTGTGCCCAGGGACCTCCTGTTGTTTTGGCAGTACTTCATGGTATGTCAGTATTCCAGAGGTCAGCTAAAGCTAAACTCTAATTAAAAGACATTAAAATAGGCTGCAGGGGACAAAAATTCAAGACCCCAGATCTATCATGATCTGTTACTGATGTAGCATCTGAGCTGGCTATGTGCTTAAAATATGCATCGAAAGTAATCTTTCAAACTTCTTCTTCAGGTCTCCATTGGCACCCCCAGAGGAAATTATTTCAAACTGTTCAGAGAGCAGCAATCCTGTTCTGGTCCTTGAAATCCTTTGAGCAACACACATCCACACACCAGCATTATTTTCTCACCTCCTCCGTATAAAAACAAAACAGAAACGTGAGAACAGTGGGCTGGAGATGGAGCTGCGGAAAGTGAAGTTGGAAGGATTAATTATGTAATACGCCCCCTCTCCCGCCCTTACCCACAGCAACACGAGTGAGGTAAAGCTAATCCTCCCAGCTGACAACTCAGAACTAGAAAGTTCCCGGAGGAGTGAAAGCAAGATAAACGCGTAGGGAAGGTGGCAATGCACGCCCACAGAGGAAGATGTCATTAGGAAAAGGCTAAAAAAAATGTTCAAAACACCGTTAGCCCTTTCCCTCCCCAGCAAAACCTCTCCCTCCACTTCCCCCCCTCCCGCCCCCCACCCC